ATAAAACCAAATCATCAAGATAATGTGTAAGTTGAAGTTATACTTAGGACCATAATTAAATATATGGAAACTTCAATATATTTTTTTCTCAACAAATTGAAATCAATACTACTTTTTACTTTTCACATAACTGAATCAATGCTTTGATCTTTGAAACGTTTTATCCAATTATATAACATATCATAAGGATAAATGTCTTTTTTCCTAACTTCAATTATTTTTATAAAATTGTAATCGTAATTGTAATCATTTTAATATCAATTTTCTTTCCGAAAACGAGTATAACTTCAAATATAATTTCTAAACATAATTACAATATCTTTAATTGGAAAAAAAAATCTCTTTTTAACATAATCCAAACTAATCCGAACCAACTTAAGATCTTAATTCCTGAAGAGATAAATTTAGAGTTTTGCCAAATCAGTTAGGTTCAAACCAAACCTCTTGTACAGAGGTGCAGATTGAATGATGTGAGTGAGTGGAAAGCAGATATCCAAATTATGCAAAATCACAAAACTTTCCATTCATTAATTATCAATTCAAATTGAAATAGAAGTGTTAATAGGTAAACTTGCTCCTTTCAGAGAACCAGCCATAAAGAACTTTTCCAAAAGGACTGAACATTATTAGAAGGAAAGCAAAGATTATGCAACAAGGGATAGCTTTGTTTTGTTATAAATAACTGGATCTTTGTCAACATTGATCATCTCTTCGCTTTTTAATATAAGAACTATTTAAAAAATTATATTAAATATAATATGATCTTAAAAAAATTTATATAAAATCGATTAGAAAGTAGAAAAAAACCACCGAAATAAAAAAATTACAAATAAGAACCCGTTATAACAGTTGTATTGGTTTTGCCAACAATTTTGTGAACGCATCCTTGTGTGTAATTTTTTAATTTCAGCTGTTTTATTTTACAATTTTCTCAATAGATTAAGATGTTATATTTAAAATTAAATTGGATCTTCATATTATAACGTGGATGGGATGAAATTAAAAAAAATACCCAAATTTAATCCAGATAATAATTCCCTCAAATTATTTCCAGTTGGCATCGCATCCGCATCCGCATCCGGTATTCCAGTTCCTACCTCTCAATTCAAAGTGCATTAACTGTCCCAAAATGCAGCTGGGTTCCAACAATTGGCGCAACTGCTATCCTGCGCCTTCGCCGGAGGCTCACTTTAACCTACACCACCACCCCCTCCGAATTGCAATAATCAAACACAGCTCAAAACAACTGAAACAGAGGCGGATAATCTTTTGGTAATTTATCAATTATAAATTAGGAACCGGCGAGGCATTGCATTCCAAGTTTCAGATGCCTATACAGAATTTAAGAGCGTAACTTATTTTTTTCTTCCTCTTATTATTGTTTAATTTTCACGCACGACCAAGAAAGTGAAGAAAAGAAAGCTATTCTGATAAACGAAGTTGCAGGAATCATCAAGACGGTAAAACCAGTTAATGCAGCTTAAAAATCGGCGAATTTCCTGTGTGGCCGTGTCTCTTGCAAATTTTTCAGGGTGTGAATCGGCAAAATATCGGCTCCGTCTGCTGGAATCTGCCGGATATCGTTCATATCCACCGCCAAGTCTATCAAAAAAAAAATGGAAATGCATTATAAGAAAATTGGTAGAGAATGTTAAAAAAAAAAAAACAAAAGAAAATTGGTTGAATGAAATTAATGTGGGAATCTGGAAATGCATTATACCAGAATGCTCGGAGGAGAGCTTGAATCTGCGAAAGGAAGCCATGTCTGACGCGGAGGGAGTGTGAGAGCAGAGGTAGAGAACGAGGAAGCAGCAAAAAATGAGAATGGGAAGGAGGTGGATGAACTTGTCTGTTCTGGAAGGAGGCGATGATGCTCGACGACTCTTCCCGGCGTTATCGCCGTCTTCGTCGTATATGGACGCCGATGAAACAGAGTCTATGAGCTTCGGTTCTTCGACATTGTCCGTCTCTTCCTTGGCTCCGCCATGGCTGTAAAGCTTTAAGGACGGTGAGCTCAGGGACTGTCTATGCATGGTCTCAGACGCAGAAGAGAGGGGCAAAGGAAGATTGAGCGAAGAGCGCGAGAAACCTACCGTTGAGCAGTCCAGATATTATTCTATTATATCGCGTTTTGCAGAAGTTCAATTTATTTATATATTTATTTTGATAGAGAGGGTCAATTTATTTTTATCGTCAAATTAAAGTACATTAACTGAAGCAATTACTCTTCTGATCTTATCGTTATCCTTCGATTAATTAAATATCGGGGAAGATTTACGTATATTTGTTTTCAATCAAATCATGATAGTATTTCGATTTCTTAAATTTGTTATTAATGTTATCAATATTTTAAAAATCCACCTCATTTGTTTTAATTAAATAAAAATATATTTAAGTATCATGAAGTCTTTGCTTGGCTTTTACTCTTTTCTATTCTTTTCTTTTTTCTTTCCCTTCCTATCTCCAAAGGGTTTTCTTCCCTTTTTCTTCTTTCATTTGACACTTCCTCTTGTGTTTATCGCTATTTTTCCTTCCCTTTATTTTTGATATATTTCTTTGTCGGCAATAACTTCAAAGTTCGAGTTGTTCTTTTCAAGACTGTATGCCCCACAAAAAGTCATATGATTCTCTTTATTTATAAATCAATCTTTTCAATTTGAATTTTTTTAAAGTTTAATTCATGTATGATTTTTTTTATTTAGTAACTGTCAGTAAATTTTTGTGAACATTTTATTTCCCCATGAAATAATAATTGATTATTGATAAAAATTTGAAAATTTTAAACAAATTGACTGTATATGTTATACGAAAATCATAGTAATCAATAAAAAAGAAATTGAAGCTGTTCCGGTGCTCCAATTCGAGCTCAATAATCCCTCGTCTCGTGCACAGGTTGAGCCAGCAATAATTTAGGCTCCAAGTGTGTCTAACCCAAGCAATTCAGACAAAAGACGGACTTTATATTCGTACTTGCCCAGCAAAGCCCAACCAACCCAATTGTTTTTGGGTATTTAACCAGCCCAATTTCAGCCGAAGAATTAACTGTGTATAGTTTGTATTTTGTATTGGGCTTGGTCTACTTCAGTTACCCAAAAAAAAGCCCAATGGAGCCTCATGTATGATGTAAAAGTGATTTTATAGCTTCTAAACGGGTTGAGTTTAATGGAAGGAGTTAGTCTCTCACAATATAACGAAGGAGTTACCCAAAAAAAAGCCCAATGGAGCCTCATGTATGATGTAAAAGTGATTTTATAGCTTCTAAACGGGTTGGGTTTAGTGGAAGGAGTTAGTCTCTCACAATATAACGAATCAAGATTCGAATCCCCACTGAGAGAGGTGCCCACATTTAGTACCCAACAATACCTCGAATAGAATTGCCTCCAATAAAAGGATACCTATGCTTTAGCAAAATTAAAAAAAAAAAGGTGATTTTATAGCTTACAAAGTAAGTATATGAAAAGAGTTTTATTTTAACTTATGTAAAAATGTATTTTTGGGTTAAACCAAACACCCCCTAATCTAATCTCAATTTGAATGATTCAAGGGTTCTATGGTGCTTTGCCGCGATTTCATTGGATCACAAGATGCCTTCCTTCAATTTCCTTGGATCACCGCGATAAATTGCGATTAATTAAACCAACGCCGGAATTTGACAAAAGATTCAAGTTTGAAGCAGCCCTTTCTCAATTGGAGTGAAGCTCCCACTCGCAGCAACCCGATTCTAGCTAATTAATTGATGTGGGTATATTATGAAATTAGTTAAATTTGTAAAATCACTTTACTAATGTATATTAGCTAGTACTACCAATTGATAAAAATTTTAATGTATGCAATTAGTACAAGAACTATTTTAAATAAATAAATAAATATAAAAGACAAAATAAATTATGGTCTTGTATTTAATATCAAATTAAATGTTAAACTAGATTTTGTATTAACAACCGGAGGCAATATATTCTAAATCTCATTGGATATTCCTGCTGCATCACAACCATGCTCATGGATGTTCCCATTCCTATTCCCATTCCCATTTCCATTCCCAGTGAAACTCTTATGCCCCACAATACTTGACACACCATCTGCCAAACCAGTGGAAGCAGGATTGAAAGCTTGAAACGACCTCCATATTTTTCCAAAAAAAAAAAAAACCATAAAGATAGGGTGGGGGCAGAATAACTTAATAGTCATGGTCCGTCATTTTATAAGAAAATCATCAAGTTCCATTTACAAGGAGGAAAAACCGTTCACGCACACGTTGTTGCTGTATCCCCACTTTTATTTTATTACTCATTGAGTCTAAATGTAATACTGAGAGTATCTATCATCCTGCTTTCAACTATTGAATGAATTGCTTTACTCTTCATTCAAATAAACTATCTACAAAAATGGCAATTGGCAAGCATATAATAAGCCATTATTTCCTGACTTTAATATAAAACTTACCTGGTTAATTTGAAACGATTAAGAAAACTAAAAAATTATTTCAAAATATTTATATTTATCATTTTGTTCTAAACTAATTTGTTTAACTTATAAATTAATATATAATATAATGATATACATAAGTGTTTCAGTAAGATCATATAACTTGTGTTATAATTAAGTAATTTTTTTAACTTCATTAATCTTTTTGAATTAATCAATTGAATTTTATATTAACCACCGAAGATAGTAATTAAAGTTTACCCCAAATAAGATAACTCAAACTCAGTTTAGATCAGTCAAAAATTTGGAAAATATTTTATAAAAATATAAAGGTCAATGAACATAAATAAAATAAACTCTACTTTATAATGCCTCTCTTAATTTCATAGCACTGACGGGACACGAGGCAAATTAGATGATCCGTAGTTCAAATAATAGCCAACGGTTCAGATGAAATGAAGGAGATAACCAACGGTCACGATGCCACCGAGGAAAAAGGGTAACAACGGGGAGAATAGAGAATTGAGGACGTCACTGCACACGAAAATTCTGGCGGCCTCGTTCAAGAGTGCAAAGGGGGAAGGGAGGGAGTAAACTTGCGCCCCAGGAAACGGTGCGTGGGAAGGCTGAGCAATAAATTAATAGAGGAAAGCAAACCAACCGAAGCTTCAACACATAACCCCAACCATTCTCTGAAACAGATACTCTCATTTCGACGGAAGATCATGGTTCTCTGGGAGATTACCGTCGCAACCGCCTATTTTTTGGGCCTCAAGCGAACTTATAGGCTTGCTTTGAGGCTTCAGCGAAAGATCATTAGTGTCAAGCATCCTAAGATCCGTCAGTTCGCTCACAGGTGCTTCGCTCTTTTTACGCTTTGTTGATTTTTCCGAATCTGTTCCTGTTAATCGATTCCTATTGATTAGTAAGATAATTTTGTCTGATAACAATATAAGACGAGTCATGCTTGCTAGTACGGTATGGTTTTCGGATTCGCAATGTTTCGCCATTAATATTTGCGTAGTCAGTTGCATTTAAGATTCACTTGTAATCGTGTGAGTAGTTGAGAAATGTACTAGTGGTTTCATGCATATTGCTGTTGAGTGGACCTGAGACTTGTTCCAGGATGACAAAATGATAAAATTAGTTTGGTGGCAGAGTAAGGTTATTTTAAAACTCCTCGATGATTGCTTGTGTGCTCGAATTACTTAGGATACGGATGCTTGTAATTCTGACCTTGTACTGCTGCATTGCTAATATTTTATAATTAGCCTAGGCTTGTAAATCGTTGCCCCTCGGAGTCTTAATGCTGTGTTCTGTATCCCTGATCATAGAGAATAAGGTCCTAGTCTACCACCTACAATGTATAAGGGGCAGATGGCAATGTAATGCATTGTAAGAAATGGTTACTTTTTAGGGCTAAAAGCAGAAGAAAAATTTGATAACTTAGCCGAGTTGTTGATAGAGGAGATTATTATGTTTTGACTTTTGAGAAGCCTAAACCCGAGTGTCATCTTTGGATGTAGCTGTCATATATAATTGCATCTCTATTAACAAAATTTATAAAATAGGGAATTGGGTGGTGAGAACTAGGAGCAGAAAGAAAACTGGTTGTTAGAGGGAGACTGCTAGAGAAACCGATGGGAAATTTTGAGCTGTTTTATGTCATTCTGTTTGTTCATCCCCTCTTTTAAGTGAGACTGAGGATGAAAAACTGGCTGGGAAAACGAGCTTCATTATACTTATTTCAAAAGTTCTGATAATGGCATGATTATGTCCTCTTCTTTTCTAGTTACTTTACCCCCCCCCCCCCAAAAAAAAAAAAAAACTAATGGTGGAATTTTCATTTATTATTGCCTTCTTGCCTTCTATGTGAAATCCAAGTCTTCGCTCATGTTACATACTTTTTCTTTTCTCGTTTCTGTAGAAATTTTTATTTCTAATATGAAGTCAGAAGCATTTATACATGTCTGCAGGGCTGCCAGATAGTCGTCTATTGGATCCTCCCAATCAAGACTTTTCAAGTTAGAATCAATGAGATATGACATGTAATCAAAAGATTTTAGAACCAATAATATTATGAGGCCTTTGAGAATCTGCAATGCATAATGTTCAGTCATCAGCTTTAGGCCGCCTTTGGCAACTCATAGGATCGTGAAAGGGTTATGGAATCCTTAAGCGAAGTATGTTTGGTTCATAGATTGTCTTCCAATGATGAGATGGAGCGTGGAGTAGTTTTCCATCATGTTTTGATGTCAATAATTGAAATAGAAGGAAGAAAATGATTAGTGTACCAATTATATACCTGACAAACAAATTAAATAACTTACGAAAATATTGATTATGATAATTCAACTTTTTTTATCTAAGGGCTGTGTCAATCTTTTAATTTTTCTCTCTTTCCATTGCTTCGTTATTTTATCATCCTCAACAAACTAATATTACAGTATTTCTATTCCATTTCATACCCAACAAACATAATTCATTCCATTCAATTCCTTTCATTATTCCTTTTCCTAATTTTCCATTACAGATATTGAACAAGCCCTCAGTTTAGTTTTCTTGTATATTCTAGACTATGATGTTCATTACTTAGGTTTAGCTTTTCTTCGCTGATGCAAACCTATTAGATTTCTTTTATCTACGTTTAATGAACAGCACCAGTTTTTCCTTTCCAGCAAGTTCATATTGTTGTTGCTTTCTGCAACAGTGGCTTCTTAATAGCTGCAATTCGGCTTCTTCAACAACAATTATTAGTAATGCTGCGATACAATTAACTTTTTGGTCTTCCTGATTTGGTTCTTTACAGACGAACACGTGCTGCATTTGACGTAGCACTCAAAGTTCACCGGAGTATTCAAGAAAGAGACATAGAAGTGGGTCGTAGTGTCGGGAATTTCATTCTGCGGTGCCTAGATCGACTGAAACCATCAGCTCAGATTCGTGGCCCTCCTTATGGAACACCCAACAATGGTGGTAACTCAAGTGTAGGCATGACAAAGCTAAATGCCACTCCCAAAGAGAAACCTAAGGGGTATTCCAGTTTTTTCAGAAAGGACACTGACCGGCATTTTTTTACCTCATCAACTAATATATGGCCAAAGTCCTTTCCAACCATTGCAATGATGATGCGACCCCCGAATCCTGCTGGAACTTCAACCCAATACAGGCGCCTAAGTATGTCTACGTCTGAGGTTTTGCCATCAATTCACAGAGTGAATTGGTCGGACCCTGTTGTTAGAAAGGACATCATGCAATGGATGCAGCGAACCTAACACAGCCGATCTCTTTATTCATGACTTGTGATGATAGTTTTGGAGCTTGACAGGGTGTGGTTAAATAAAATTTTGTGCAATGTGGTAAATGCTGCTGGGAATTGGTGTTGCTGGTCGAATCTGAATCCTACCGCGTTGCTTGATTAAGGCAAGGATTCTTAGCTTTAGCCATTTTTCTTGTTCGTTTCTAACTGCTGTATAGTTGTTCAGCGCATCTTTTGGGGAATTGTCAGTTTCCCCTTCGTCTACATGGTTTGGTTAAAAGAACTAGTAAACATTTTTGTGTTGGTTGCTGCAAACATTGAGCCTCCCCCCCCCCCGGGGGGGAAAAAGCTAGACACATTTTCACGTTTGTTACATGGAATGTGAAAAATGAACTGTATCATTTTTGTGAATAATGTGGCTTAATATAAATCTTATTTTACACGCATATATATTGATGTGGCTCTAAGCAACTTTATATTGGACACTGTACTGGACAACTATAATTGCTTTTGATGCCATTTTGTTTTGTTTTGTTTCATGGGATGGCGTATCCCCCCCCCCTCTTTTCTTTCATGTTTCATACATAATCAAAAGAAATGGAACAAGTAATTTTGAAGATGATAAAAGCATTAAATAATAATTAGAGACATATAAATTCTTTGCTGGTCAGTTGAACAAGTTTTCAGATTTCGGCTTTGCCAAGATAACACGTTTTTCAATTGAAGGTTATGAAACTGGTGTCTCGGGTGGGGATAGCAATGAGGGGAGATATATAGAGTTTCTTGGTATCCGTTTCTTCTTTATTTTATGCTTGATTTATAGTCCTCTGGCTTTCTTTTTATATTACATGCATAAATAATGCAGAACTCTTAAGAGCGTTTTCCGTGTGCCTGTGGAAGCTTAAATAAGTTGATTTGAACCTAAATAAGTGAGGTCTATTTTCTCCGTTTGATTATTTGAACCTAAATAAGTGAAGTCTATTTTCACCGTTTGATTAACTAAATTTTTTGAAATAGTGATAAATTGTCATTTCAATCCCTCCTCTATTTTTGAATATAAGTTATTATGAGTAACTGTTGTGATTGAAAAATCTTGATAAAGGCTAAAATTTCTCCATCTACCTTTGTTAATAATAATTATTAAATTAAAATTATATTTAAATAATAACTAATGCTTATTATTACCTATAGTTCTAATTATAAAAGCTAGTTGACTAATTTGAGGAGATTAAGAAAATAAGTTAAGTTAGTTATTTATAATAAATAGGTGTTATTTTTTTAAAATATCCTTGTTAATAAAGTGTATTAGCTGGAATTACTATTATTAGAAGGACTAATTTGATAAACAATACATAAATATGAGAGACAAAGTAGATTGAGGTCTTATACTTATGACCAAAATAAAAGTCAAACGAGATCTTATATTAAAAACCGGAGGTAGTATATGAATTATATTAAATTATATTTCTCTTATGTACTTTTTCTTGCGAGATCTAAGTACTATAAGTGATTTTAATAAATAAAATCCAAACATCATTAACATTTTCAAAATTACTTGTAAGAAAAAATATTTAAACAGAAATCAAAATTATAATTACTCACTGCGAATCTCAACGCCGAGGGGTAAAACATACGAAAGGCAAACCACATCTAAATATTGACTGTTGGGTTACTAGGCGTCTTGGTAAGTTAATAATTCTTCTCTCTTTTTGAAAAAAACTAACTTATAATAATAACCTGCGGTCATGAATTGTTTGAATCAAATTTTAACAATTTAAATTTAGAAAAAATTGGTAAAAAAATCCCTGGTTAAAAAATTTAATGGACCAAAAGGACCTGAATTTGAGCAAATGTAACTATGATCTTTGAGTGCAGCATATCTTCCGTTGTGTGTAACATATCTTCCGTTGAGTACAAATGACTTCAGTATTAATAATTGTTACACATTATTGATGATATGTTGCACACAGCGAAAGATATGTTGTATTTACGGATCATACTTGTACGTGCTTAAATTCAGATCCTTTTAGCCAATTAAATTTTTAAATAGGGATTTTTAACTAATTTTTTCTTAAATTTATTTACTTATTTTTATTGAAAATTATAGTAATCTATATCTATAATCGTTGTTAATATAAATATACGCAGTTTTAACGGTCCCTTTGTGACTTTTTCTGCCATAGGAAACTAAAGCAGATTTTGTTGTACCCAACCTTTGATATGGTCAGAAGCAGAACCCTATACAAGTTTAGGATCATCATAGTGTTTCCCTTACAACAAGTCACCCCAACGTGAGCAATGTCTCTATAATGATGTCCATAGGATCATCTTTTTGTTTGTGCCTTAATATGGCATTCACTTCTTTTAAATGGATATAAAATATTTTATGCCCACGCACGAGTGCCTTTTACAGGTGCTTTATGTATTCAGGGTTTCAGCCCCGTCCTCCCAATACAATAAAAAAATACAATAAATTAGTAGTTCAGTACAACATTGTTTTTCAGAAGCCGGAAAAGAAAGTCACCACTGACAACAGAAAGTTTAGGTGAAAAGGCATGTCAAAGTCGTCACTTTTTTTGTTGGTAAGTTATAGAAGTATATGCTATTATGTAGCACATTTACTATATCTAACCTATGTTATGGTACTTCACAAAAACAAATCAGTGATAAGAGTTGATTTAATTGTTAAAAGGGTCAACATATAACTCAGGAGTTCGAATTTTACTGTATGTGAAAACTTCATTGACGAATGATCTCTACGTATTTCTGTAAGTATTTTTTGGGCTGAAGTTACTTCTAAACTTTTTCTTTTACTAAAAGTAAAAAAAACCAATAGAGGGATCATCATAACGTTTGAGGTTCTAGAATTCAACCATCAGACATCAAAATAATATGGAAGGAGAGTATCGGGATCTCTTCGATTATGCGTTATAGAGCAAAATCATCAGAATTTACCAATCCTTCAACGTGATCTCTGCCTAATTCCATTGTTATAACTCTTTTAATCAAATGTCATGCTATTCCTTGCAAGTTCCGGTTGGATTTATCAAGTACTCCTCCGGTCCTTATTATAAGACCCAATTTGACTTTTTATTTGGTCCTAATTATAAGACCCAATCCATTTTTTCTTTTATATTTATGCATTTTTTCCAAGATAATCCTTCTAATAATGATAGTTTTAGCCAATATACTTAATTAGCAAGGATATTTTAGGAATAACAACACTTATTTATTATAAATAACCAACTTAACTTACTTCCTTAATCTCCTCAAATAAGTCAATTGGGTCTTATAATTAGGACCGGAGGAGTACATCAGAGTAGGGTGTCTTCTTGTTTTAGGATAAGTCATATCAGAAGTTGTGTGATATGAACCAAGTCTACGCTAAGCGGTATTTTAGTAGTGTCTCATGAGATCACGACAGCTTAATTAATCTTTAATTAACATAGCCAACTTTACAAAAACTAATCAAGTGCATTTTTTTGGCCTGATTACTCTGGACTTACAATATATTATTGATTTACTGTGTGGCGGAAAATTCAATAATTGAATACAATGGCAGAGTGCTGACTTCTTTTTTTGGTGGCCTATAAATTGTAGCAGAATACATTTTGCTATTGAAAAACCCCATATTAGCTTGGCAAGACAATGTCGTAGGATTTTCTTAATATAAACGCCTAATTTAAACAGCTTCGGGCTTGTTCGGTACGTTAAAATTGATGAAAATGAAAATAAATATGGAGATATCTTTAAGAGTGCCTTTGGTATCTGTATAGAATTTAGATATTATTTTTACTCAATATTTAAACTTAAAATAGCAATGCATGATAAAGTTTGGGCTAATGAGGTTGAAGGAAATACAAGGGGCAAAAGGAAAAATCCATGGAATTTTTCAGAATTCCCTGAGCTATATGATGAAAATTGATGGAATTGGCATCCATATGGAATCTATTTCCATGTGCGTATTTCTAGGAAACACTAGTACAGAGTGAAACTAATCACTAATGGTGATTGAAACAGTAAAACCCCTGTTCATGAGGTGCATGGAATTTAGTTCATGCTCTGGAGCACGCACACGCAAAACACAGACTTACTGGGATGTGCAGAACTGAACTAAATTGATTCATATTACTTCCTCCTTCTCAATATATCAGAGGAACTCTTGGTAAAAATCCATCAACGCTGAATTACCACGTGACACCAGATTTCTTTCTCCATTAAACATGTCAGTAATTCAGGGGAAAACAACAGATTATTTTGTATGTACCTCTAAGGGAGGAAAGAAGACCACGGATAATGATATATGATTACTTTCATACTAATCTAGAAGCGGACTCCCTTCCCTGGCAAGGATGAAAAGACCACCATCCCCCCTAGAGATTCTCAGATCGCCATCAAGGTAAGTAGTGATAAGCCACGAACTTGTCCTCTCGCCTGGAATGGGGATCTTAAGGGGTGGCTGACCAGAAATAGTGCGTGAGATGTTCATTGCCAAATCCTGCAGAGGACTGAGAGTTTGTTGCACAGGTGATAGGCTAAGCTTCTGGCCAAAAATGTCTATATTTTCTGGCAGATCAATTCTTGACTTTATTTCTGGCGGTTGTATGGTGCCTTCTTTAAATGTGACCTGCTTGTAATTGCAGAAGTCAGTAAAATACCGCAAATTTTCTTGTCATCTAAGGTCTAATAGATACACGATAAGTAAACTAGCTCACAGCACAGGGTGGCGTCCAGATTGCGACATCATCAAGCAACATAAAAATCACATTTACAGGCCTGAATATGTTTCTGCTATTGAAGCACCAGTACGATACTATGGCATGCATAATGGCAAGCATATATTTTCTCTTTGACAATGCTTTTTCAGTACACCCTAAAGCAACAAGACGTCCACTATCATTTTTCATCATGCAAAAGCTTAACAAAGAAGCTCAATTAAAAACGACTGCAAATGTGTAAATCAGCAATCCACCCATAGGTTATTGAGTAAAAGTTTCTTCCCCTGCTCCTTTTATTTTTCTCTTTGCCGAAATTTTGCTTCTTTTTTCACATGAGAATTTTCTATAGTCAAATTATCATTACAGTTTTCATGGCAATACCTGTATTCTTGTGGGACTCCGCACTTCAAATGACGCAGATGCACTGAAAGACAAGTAGTTGAAAGGGCTAGATAATGTGGTTGAGTTTACAATAGTGGAGCTATCAGTATCAATTGTTTGTAATATCTTGTCTACTTTCAACAGTGGTGTTGACCCTGCTGCTAGAAGAGGCAACAGTTCAGAAGATGCAGTGTACCTGACACCAATTTGACAAGCAATGTAACCATAAGGGCACAAAAACAGATTTTATAAAATAAGACACATCGCCACTTGCAATGTAGTTTAATCAATGCTCATAAAGACTTTCCAGCATATTTGCTAGAACCCTGGATGAGCACAATTGCATTATATGTGGTTCATTTTCTCAGTGCAAAACCCACAGTTGTAAATGCTGTTTTCGTCCACAAGCAATAATTCTCAATCAGCCAAGCATGATGTGCTAAACATATATTCCATTAATAACAGAGAAATTAGAAAAAGAAATACCCTCTTTTCTCTTCTGAACAATCATTTAGTCTCATAGACCCATAGGAACCAAAAGCACTAGTTCATTTTACACTAAACCCTCACTGAAGCTATATAGGAACGAAATTGAAAGGGAATCATCCGCGCTGCATTCATATCAACTTGTGGTCTTCTAAGAATGGGATTTTGCATAGAAGGGGATTGATTGGGTTGGAAATATTGGCATTCTTTTTTGTGCGATTCACTGCTATGTAAAGAATCATCTAATGATATTATCATGCAGCCAGTCAATAATAATTAATAACTGTATGAGAACCTAAAGAACGTCCACATATTAGGTCATGTTCAAATCTTTTAGTATATTTAAGCATAATGAAGAATACGCATTCGAAAAGCTTAAGGCTGCTAGAGAAATGTCCAAATATAACTTAAATCATCGGATAATTAATGGATTCCGAGAAAATTTTCCATGCCAAGCTAATTGCATAAACATTAGATGTGTATGTGTTGGGAGCAATGAACTTACAACAATACCCAAGTTCCATTGAGAAGCCTAGGCTCCTCCACCGGCGCTGGAGTAGGATTTGCCGCTTCCAACTGATTCACCAGCTCGGAGACCTCAGCCCTCACTTCCGACCGAGCTCGAAATCCAAATTCAGTCCCATAAACGGTGTCCACCAAAGCTTGCTTCAGGCCCAGTAGCTTATCATCCACACCTACAGTCTGGTCCTTGATCGTCGCAGCCGGAGTTCCATTTCCTTGGTCGATAGCCTCATCGTCAGCTCCACCTTCCTCCCACTCGTCCTCATATTTAGGAGGGTCCGCATCCGGCAGCTTCGTAGGCGTTGTTTCAGGCTCAGACTCCTCACCCCACTCATCAGTGATCTTGGAGGGCTTTCCGGAGGCGTTTTTAGAACCACCCTTTCTGCGGTTTACGGGACCGGAAGTGCCACCGGAATCAGAGGATCGGGAGCGAAGGGCAGGGAACCGATGGAGTCTGGAATAAGACACGGAGAAGAAGGCGATTGTGGGGTGTTCAGTAGTGGAGGTAGAGAAGACCGTAGAGAATGAGAGAAGTTTACGGTTCTCAGAGAATGCAGACGGAATGCGAGAGGTGAAGAGAAGGAGAGCCATCGGAAATGGAGAGAGAACCGGCGCTCGACAGATTTTTTCTCTTCCTGGTTTGGTTAATTGAAATTCTGATGCATATTTTTTTCTGCCAAAAAATTGTGATGCAGATTAGTACTTACGAGCCAGGACACACGTTGTTCACACATCTGTATTTAATGTTTACAGGGATAATGCAAATTTTGTTTCTTTCAGTTTACCTTCGTTTTAGTTCTTTAAACTTTTTTATTTCAAATATTAATCTTTATAATAATCTAATAAAAATTTAAATTATTTTATCCTAGAACTAAAACTTATAATTTAAAATTTAAAAAATAAAAATAAAAATAAGAGTAAACTTAATGAATCAAAAATTATATTAACACATATTTATAATTAGGTAAATATTTTGTGAGGCCCAACACTCTAAAGTATTGTGTGATGCTTTTAGATTCTAAATTATTTTTTCAAACCTATCTAGTACTCTAAATCATTTTGTAGTGGGTTTAACACCTTGAAACATATCTAGCACCCTACAAAATACTGAAAATTATTTTATGGTACTTGATATGCATTTATTTAATGAACTTTTTGAAAAGTTATTGATGAAAATTAAACTTCTCATGAAATAATAATTTAAAAACATAATTACTTTTGAAAAAAATTAATCCTTTAAAGAGCAAAATTACACCACAAAATATTTTAGAGTACTAAATGCATCTGAAAAAATAATTTAAAATGCCAGGTATACCATAAAATATTTTAAGATAATAGATGTATATGACAAAATACGTTAACACATCTTAACCCTTTATAATTTACCTTGGATCAATAATCAATAATCATTATCCAATAATTCAAGTTATGGAGTATGAAACCCTGCTAATTTTAATCTATGCGTTATTAAGTTTTTAAATAGTTTTTGCCAACAAGTCATTAGGTGTTTCTTTAGAAAAAATTTCACAAATAAAAACTTAAAATTACTAAATCTCAAATCAAATTTGATAATAATAAGTCTTGACAGCATTGAATTTGCAAATAACAACATATTCTTATAAAAATTCTTTCTTTAAAATTTAATAATTTCAAATTTTTTGTGGATTCTCCTTTTTTATTGACTTTTAATTTCGCTTGAAATAAAAAAAAATTGTCCAAAAATCATCAGCACAAAGCACATCTACATCAACCACTTGTAAAATATATGAATGAATTTCCTACCTTAATTTGCTCCAGTCTAATATAGTATCTGGCCTTTACATAATGAGCTGCACAAATTATAAGCTGGATATTACAATCATTTTTGAAATTTCCAAAACTCATTATTGTTTTTCTTAAATTAATAAAATACCAATTTTTGTGGGAAAAAGTAAAATATATTACAAGGCAGGAAAAGGGGTCTAAAATAAATTTCGTGGATATGCTGATTTCTGCGAACACCTTCGAGTTTTTAAGAAATCTCCGTTCAAACTTCAAACACGTTGATCAGTTATAGGACCCTAATTGATATGTTTTGCCCATTCTCTTGTGAATACTACAACATCAAGTGTGTAATATAAAAACTCAGTTTAATATTTATTTTGATCCTAATTATATATAGACCTTAATTTATTTTGTCTCTTGTATTTATCTATTTTTTACCAAAGTAGTCATTATAATAATATTAGTTTTAACCAATATATTTGATTAGCAATGATATTTTAGAAAAGACAATACATATTTATTACAAATAATTAATTTAACTAGTTTTCTAAATGTAATCAAATTAATCAACTAACTATTATATTAAAGATCAAAAGTAGTATTATATTTTGCTTTTCACGGTTCGGGTTTCTCTTTATCAATAGAATTTTAATTGTACCCAGCAACACTTACATTTTTAATGCACAATATAAGCCATTTTAATTAGTTTGTTAGTATCAAAAAATGGTAGCTGACAAGTTGAGTTTTTTTATTTATTTTATTTATATTAAATGAGGTTGTGAAAAAAAACCAAAAATGGTTATATTTAAACAAAATTGAAAAATAAATATTAATTATTTTCTAAGTGACTTGTATTCTCAACATTATACTTAAAACGACTTATATTGTAGACTCAGGGACTAAACTGATTTATGATGTAGTCATGAAAATAAATCATTATCAAATAGTCTAATTGAAGAGAAAAACTTTTTTTTAGAGGGACAGCATGATTTTAAAATGGTTTTAAGGAGCTTTCAACCTGATTATTGGCATTAAAAAAATCAGTCTTGAAGCTTTTTAAAACAATAAATTTGATAATTTATTTTCGTTGAATAGTTTATGTGATAAAGTTAAAATATTCTCTTATTCCAGGTTTGTTTACCTAGCACAATATTTGAAAAAAGGTTGGCACAAAAATATATTTTCACTTTCACCAAAATGCCACACTAGCAAATAAAAGATTGCTTTAATTGGTAAATATCTATCTTATATTTTTATTTATTTAGAAGGATAAGATTATAAGGGGAATTAAACTTCAAACTTTTCATTTAGAGGGAGCTCACGTGGCATAAGACTACAACCCTGTTTGTTATGCATTTCTTGTATCGTCCATTACCATTTTTTTCCCCCTAACGCATAGGTATCCTTCTATTAGAGGTAATCCTATTCAAGACACTGTAGGGTACTAAATGTGAGTACCTCTTCTAGTGAGAATTCTAATCTTAGTTCGTCACGTTATGAGTGATTAGTCCCTTCTGCTAGACTCAATCCTCGTCGGTTGGTCCATTACCATATTAGACAAGTGTGTATGTGTATTTTTGTGGGGCAATTTTCTAGTGCACTCATTTAACTACATATATCTTTTGACCGAATGTTTAGTGTAAAACCAGTTAATTAATTTGGATAGATTAAAAAAATTAAGCAAAATATTTAGTTCTAACAAAATTGATATAAACTTTCTAAGATACTGTAATACAACATTAGATTATAGGATTAAAGTGCAAATTTGTTTTGAAACTTTTTCTTCAAAAGTAATATTGTCTTAGAAGTTTTTTCTGGCACAATGTTGCCCTGAAGCCCAAAAATTTCAAAACGTACAGATATTGTGTCATGCTGTTAAAAAAAATCACGTTGACTATTAAAAAATTAATGTTGACTATTAATATTTTTATCAATAAGGGATAATGTTGTTCCATTCTAACACTTTTGAAGTAATTTTGAATTAAAAAAATTTGTTACTTTTGAGTGAAAAATCTTTGGAATAGATTTACACCTAAATTCTAGATTACATATTTCTCTGGTCCTAAATATTTAGAATCAGAGAAGTATTAATTTATAAATTAGACAAATTAATTTTAAAAAAATTAATAAATAATCCTCCGGTCCTTATTATAAGACCCAATTTGACTTTTTATTTGGTCCTAATTATAAGACCCAATCCATTTTGTCTCTTATATTTATGTATTTTTTTTCAAGATAATCCTTCTAATAATGATAGTTTTAGCCAATATACTTAATTAGCAAGGATATTTTAGGAATGACAACACTTATTTATTATAAATAACCAACTTAACTTACTTCCTTAATCTCCTCAAATAAGTCAATTGGGTCTTATAATTAGGACCGGAGGAGTATAACAGATGAAATAGATTAAACTCTTTTAACGAAAATCAACTCTTTAACTAGCTATTATATTTAGAATGATATGATAGCAACAAATTCAAAAGACCTAACTCAATTTTTCTCAAGAAAAAAAAAGGCACATCAAATTAAAAACAAAAATCAGATAAATGGAGTAAATGAGAAATCAGCCCCACGCGAGCGTGGCCTAGCACCAAATTAAATATTCTTTCACGTACGCTTTCAATTCATAGCAGATGATGTGATAAAATTCCAGAATCAAGATGCTTCATTGACCACCATTATTATACTCTATTAAATAACATACTATATTATATATATATATTTATATGCACACACACAGAGAGAGACATTTATATATAAATTAATTAAATATAGAAACACATTCATAGTTGTTCACTTCTCTCCCTCTAATTACTGCTATTTATTGTGCAACTGTTTCATGCTCAACGTACGAAACTAAAAACACAAACTCACAAAATATGTATTATATTTTCTCTATTTATTGAATCATTATTGAAAGTATAATACTATTTTTATTATTTTCTGGGCCAGAAGAAGAATCTGCGATGAACTTATATTAAATATACAAGGTTTTTCGATTTAATCAGAGGGCGTTGCATGTTTGGATCTCTGCGGCAATTCATATGGGAGTTGCAGAGAGAGGACCAGTTATTTTTCATGCACACAACACAGATCTGAGATCTCAATTAGTATGTGTTGTACCATGAAAAGCCTTAAATATTTCTTTTTGTTTGGACAACGTTAGAAAATAAAAAGCCTTAAATTATAAGTAATAATTATGACGCGTTTGATGCGATTTGTTAAGTCTCGGGCTTTCTTTTTTTCCTTTTTCTAGCATTGTGCTGTCCGGTCCATTGAATTGATTTCTCATAATTCTCTCAGATAGCTTACGAGATATAGGATATGTATAATTAATAATATATATGATTAATAATAATATCTTGCAGCATATGAATGTCACTTTAAATAATGTTTCATATAAACTACCTTTTCATTTTAGTTTGTTGCGTGTTGTGCTGTGCTTTATCAAGTCAATATAAATGTCACTTTAATGGTTACTTTGTGTGTCACCATAATTTTGGCAAAGCCTTTCTATCTCTCTTCTTCTCATAACAGTTTGAATTAATAATGAGTAGAAATTTGCTTTTATATTTGTATTATAAGCAAAACTCCTTGAAACTGATAACTTCCAGTGTTTTTTTTTCATGGAATTGAGTTCCATTGAAGAATTGGCTTCCACGGTACTCTCTCTCTCTCTTCGATCCTATTTATAAGATTTTAAAATTTGAGTTAGTTTGATCCTTTAATTTTTATGAAATCTTTATAAAGATTATATGAATATTAAATGCAATTTTATTAATTTTCTATTCTCTGTATGTTCTCATTTTTTTCTCATATTTCATTGTCTTTCATCACTTAACCCATCATAACTGGTATTTCTCTTTCTTATTTGCTCCCTCATTAAATAAGGATATACTCAGAAAGAAGATATTTAATTTGTTAATTAATTTTCTTTCTTTTCTTAAACTGCTTATTTTAATTAGTAATATCTTATAAAAAAGGACCGGAAGGAGTTTCAAATAGACAAAAATGTTGACTTTACTTTCACTTCCACTTCTGTCCCTCTGATTTCTCGCTGCAAACAAGTCTTAGAGGAGACAGGAGAATTGAGCCTTGTATCTAAAACTACTGAAGGTCTCAAATACATGGATCTTATGTTGGATCAAAAGGAGCGCATAGATTTTGCTTTCTTCTTTATCTTTGTGTGTGTTTTTTTTCCTTACAATTATTTATAAATAGGGACATAGGAGGTAATCTAAATTGTTCCTTATAGTACTTAATAGTAGCCACATATTTTTTTTTTTTAATCTTAAACGCAAGTCACTGTGAAAATGTCTGCTGCATTAATAATTTTCTTCCGTTTTACACCATTGTCTTCACTTAAGGAAATCAATACTTCCGTCTGTTTTAAATATAAAATTTAGTTCGTATATAATACAATTTGCACTATAAACAAAATCTTATATTTAAAACTAAAGGCAATATGATAGTAAAATTTAATGTGATTAATGAGAATAATGATCAAAAGTATAGTAATAGAAATTTTTTAATTATTAAGAGTAGCGTATAAAAAAATTAAAAATAATTTTCCAAACAAAATCCTTATAATCAGCATAAGTGATTTCTTCCAAACAACTGAGATGTTAAACTTAAGTAAAATCACCTTTGTCTTTAATTTTAAACAAATGAAATCTTAATATCATCTAAACAAAACTTGAAACATAGTTTTTACTACATTCGATGTAGGTAGTAAGGCCTATATATATACTATGAAGTGAGCTCAAGAAGGGGGGAATCTCGCATAGATGAACCTTTCTTTTCCTGCCCAAACATCGGAAGAGAAGTGTTTAGGTGGTGAGGAAAATAACACATGTCCATTCAAAGAGCAACTATTACCAACAAGATTAGGTCTAGAGAAATACACTACTTTCTTATAACGTGGTGAACGAAGATTTGAATCCCTGCTGGAAGAGGTACTCACATTTAGTACAAGATAGTGTTTTGAATATGATTGCCTCTAATAACATGATACTTATGTTTTAGTATTAAAAAAAAAAAAGAGCAACTATTGTTTTACATATACTATTATTATACACATTAAAAATTGCTTGGCAGTAATAATTTTTTTCCCCTCTGGAACACATCCAATCATATAAAGTGAACACAGCTCAACAATTCAATTCACAGATTTATTATGCGAAGTGTGTGTGGGTCCTTTCTTAAAAGAGCTCAATCATCTTCCAACACAGGACCACCTACATATATACGACAATACATTACTCACATTATATTTTGCTTCTCTCATTTGTTATTGCTTGTTACCACGTTGTTTTCTCATTAATTTTTAGCCAGCTTTTAATTTACCCACCCAAATTACTCCCCTATATTCGCTAGCTACTCTTGTACATAATTTTGGATTTGAATTTGGAAAAATTGGTTAAAAGCTAAGTAGCCGTTTGAAGATTTTATTTGTTAAGATGCTTAAATTTGGACGAGCGTAACTTTAATTTCTTTTCAACAACTGTGTACAATATATCTTTATTTTTGTTTTGAAGAGTTTGAATATAGTTAAAGATAGGCTACACACAAGTAAAATGAGCTGCATTCGTTAAAGATGAGTTGCATAATTTCTAACAGGTAATATTAATCAGATTTTCCTTTAAATTTAACAATTAAGAGGGGGAAAAAAACAGCAAGGAGTTGGATAAAAATTTAAAGGCGGGCCTGCTGCTGTTAGTATTAAAGGTGCATTTCCAAGAATGAAGAAACCCAAACACTAATCACATAATTAGTACGAATTAACAAATCCTTGAGAGCAACACAAGCAATCCTCATTTGACCAAACAAGAAAGAAATACTCAGGAATCCGACAAAGTCATGAAATTTTCCTCCTCTTAATCTGCAAATTAAGGAAATTTAAAAATAAAATACCCTATCCACAAGCAAATCAATAAATCACCGGCCATACCCACTTTAATTCTAAACAGGATTTTGGATTGGTGGTCCTCACTTGAACTTAACAACACCCACCGTTTTACTAACTCCGTATTTTAACTAAGATTTTTAACTGCATCTTCCTGCCTGTTTGGGTAACAAGCAAAATCATGGTTTTGGGATCCAACAATCCAAATATATTACTTCTCTGGTCCTAAATATAAGACCATTATATACACTTGTATAATGGTCTTATATTTAAAACGGGAAGAGTAATTTTTTGTAAAATCACTTTTTGATTAAAAATTATGATTTGAAAAAATATAGCCAAACATCATGATTTTTGGCAAAATCACCTTTGAATTGAAAACCATGGTTTGGGGTCTAAAGCCATTGTTTTTCATAAAGTGAATTTTTTTTGCTTTTGAAGGTATAAGACCATGGTTTGTGATATAAAAAATAGATAAATATGAGAGATAAAATATATTGGGATCTTATAAGTCAAAATCAAATTGAATATCTAGTTAGTTATTATATCAAGGACGAGAGATAATATTAATTAATTATATTTTTTATGTACAATTTATTATTTCAAAAAAATATAAATATAAATCTATTTTTTTATAATTATCATATTAACTTATGTCTTTTTTAGTAATTTATACATAAAAAATATTATTATAAAAACTATTTAGATATTTTTACTTTATCAAAATTATTTTTTTCACAAAATCTATTCTTCTAAAATTTATTAACAAAATCTATTTTTTAAAAATTATTTTCTGAATACTATTCTCTAAATTACGGTTTGATTTCATCCAAATACCCTTACTAAGTCAGTCGGATCAAATTTCAATAGCAGAAGATTTACAATTTCAAAATTTTGTCAAACCTAAACCATCTGATCATATCTAACGGTTCAGAAATGCTATATAGGTGGCGAGATGTTAATGTCTCCATTGTCACATCTCTCGCATCCAAAAGTCATCCACACCACACTCGCCGTGCATACTGCAAAACAGTAATCCCGCACCATCTTTTACCATGTGGGCTCCACCAATCATAGATCCTACGGCTCTGATCATTTTGACTCGTTTCGTCATTTTTCACTCTTCAACGCTCCCAAGTCAAAATTATTTTCCCTCACTCCCGGTGACAAGTAGTAAAAATACCCACTCCAACCGAACGACGCGTGAGCCACACGGTTCCTTGGGTATTAATGACTCGTTGATAAGGGCTGGAATCCAGGAGGCGCGTGGACACGGAGGATAAGGTCACGTGGTGGGGTGGGAAAATGAGAAGGTTTGACTTTGCTGAAGGGGTGATGGGAAACGCACGGAAGGCCAGTAAGAGATGGACACGTGTAACGAAACGGCCAACGTAGAGGAGTGTATCTGATCGGTTTCTGTCCTCACTGATTTACTATTCCAGTAAATTACTACTATGGTATTAAATTAACCGATTTATTGCAAAAGAGTGAGAGCAAGAGTGAGATACATAGAATGGAAGAAGAGAACTGAAGGGGAGAGAGAGAGAGAGAGATAAGAAGGAGGAGGAGGAGGCAAACAGTCCAAGAAGAGAGAAATCGTTCGTTCTCGTCATGCTCGTTGTTGTGGAATAGGGTTCGTTTGTTGTGATTTTTACTAGTTTTGATCAGTTTTTTTTTTTAAAAAAAAACTTTTTGTTCTTCCTTCTAGATCCTTTTTTTGTGGGTACTGTTGTGTCTGAAATGGACAAGTAATATTTTTTCTGTATGTGTGAAGAGCAGGTTTGTTAGGTTTTGAATTAGAGAAGTGTTTTAGGGTGAAAAAGCGAAGAAGAAGAAGAAGAAGAAGAAGCGTGCGGTGAAGGAGAAATAACAGGAGGGAGAATAATGTATGGGGATTGTCAAGTGATGTCAAGTATGGGAAGTAACGTAGTAGTAAACTCAGAAACGCTCTTCTCTTCCTCAATCCAAAACTCCAACTTCAACTTCATCCCCACCATGCCTTTCCAGCCTTTCCAACCTCCCTTGGTAATTTCTCTCTTCACTCTATCTCTTCTCACTCTTATTATGTTCCTGTCTTTTCGGATTAATTTATGTTGAAGTCGTAACTTCGTATGATTTTGTTTTTCCCTTTTTCCCAAAACGCACAGAAAGAAGAAGAGGGGATGATGATGCGAGGGAAGGAAGAGATCATGGAGAGTGGTTCTGGTAGCGAACAAGCTGATCAAGACAAGTCTGGGAACGAGCAAGACAGTGAACAGCCAGCCAAGAAGAAACGCTACCACAGGCATACTGCTCGTCAGATCCAAGAAATGGAAGCGTAATATCTATATTTTCTTATCTTTTAGTGAACCAAAAAAAAAAACACAAGTAGCCATTGTTCACAAAAATATCTGATTATTGGCAGTTTGTTCAAGGAATGTCCACACCCAGACGACAAACAAAGGATGAAACTGAGCCAAGAGCTGGGCTTGAAGCCACGCCAAGTCAAGTTCTGGTTTCAAAATCGTCGAACTCAGATGAAGGTACTTACTAGTTAGGCTCAACTTAATTATGAGAGAATGAAACGTTCATCTTCTTCATAGAACAGAATATAACAATGAATGATGTAATAAAAATAAAACCCTAAGGTACTACTGTATATTTGGCATCTACATTTAACCAAGAAGGCACATTTCCCAATGTTGAAACCGCGTTGCATTAAAACTTTTGTAAGCCCCAAAGGACCATACACGCAGTGATAGGGAAGAAAGGCAAAGAGCAGAAGAAACAAGTGTCTCATCATTTACTTCTGGGGTCATTGCTTTTTTGCTTTGTGGCCTCCTTCGTCTCTTCACTATACAGTCTGTATTCCATTAATGTGCGCATTAAACCCTACCTGCCTCATTTCCCCTCCCATTTATTGCTCATATCATTACCGTTTTAGGGTTACAATAAAAAGGCCTTCGTTTTTCCATAAATCTTCTTGTTTAATTTTGCTTACACCTCCTGTTATTAGTCAGCGAGAGATTTCACTTAAACTTTTATATATATTGTGGTTATATATTCTTTTTGAATTAATGTGATGTAGGCTCAACAAGATAGAGCTGATAATGTGATACTGAGAGCAGAAAATGATAACTTGAAGAATGAAAATTATCGTCTGCAAGCAGCTCTGCGTAATGTGATGTGTCCTAATTGTGGTGGTCCAGCGATGATGGGTGCTGATCTGGGCATGGATGACCATCAGCTTCGCCTTGAAAATGCTCGCCTTAGAGAAGAGGTTTCTCATTCTTATTCACTGGATTCTAGCTACTCAGTTTTCTTGGAGAATATACCAAGTTGGCTCATTTCTCATTCCTCTTATTTTTTTCTTTTTGAAACTTGTGAAATCTTTTCTTATAGCTGGGGATCTAAAGTAAGTGCAGGTTCATTAGCTGAAGGACTTGGCACAACAGATAAATGGGAATGCCTGAGTATTTTTCTGGGATTTGGATAAATCTAAAATTATACTTCGAATGAGCCAGAAGATGAAGTGGGATATTTCATTAAAAATTCTTTTGTTTTAACTAATTATAAGGGAAATTAGAGATATTTTCATGTAAGTTTTCATAACCTTCCTCAGTCTGGTCCCCCATCCCTTCTTTTACTATCCCACAGTATAAAAGATTTAAGAGAAATATTAAGCTTCTCCACACAAGTGAAGTTGTTAAAATTATTAGACTCGAATGTATCTTCTATATAATATCACAATTTTTAGTTGGAATGTTTGGATTGGATTAATATCAAACAAAATGTTTCAATTTCTTTTTTCTTTTTTGAAAAAGAAGAGAACACCATCATCTTAGATTTTTTTTAATAATAAATTTATTAAATGAATTTATTTTTTAACCATGATTTATTCTCTTTCTTTAGAACCCTACATTTGCCTCTCAACTCTAAGCTACTCCAAATGCCCCGAATTATAACAAATTGGAGAAGCCTGGGATCCTGAGATCTCATTTCCAATTAAAAATAGAAAAATTCATTCGACATTGTAAATATTTTGCAGCTGGAACGCGTGTGTTGTCTCACATCAAGATACACAGGCCGTCCAATGCAAACAATGGCGTCTCCAGCTCCTCCTCTGCTGGCTCCTTCTTTGGACTTGGACATGAACATATACTCAAGGCACTTTGCTGATCCTGTCCCTCCTTGTACTTCCGAGATGATTCCTGTCCCAATGTTGCCTCCTTCCGATGCTTCGCCATTCCCAGATGGCGGCCTGTTATTGTTGGAAGAGGAGAAATCTCTGGCTTTGGAGCTCGCAGTGTCGTCCATGGATGAACTCGTGAAGATGTGTCAGCCAAATAAGCCGCTCTGGATAAGAAACAGTGAGAATGAGAGGGAAATCCTCAATTTTGAGGAGCATGCCAGGCTCTTTCATTGGCCCCTTAACGTCAAGAACCATTCTAGTGAACTCAGGAGAGAAGCTAGCCGTGACACTGCTGTGGTTATAATGAATAGCGTCACTCTTGTTGACGCCTTCCTTGATGCTGTAAGTAATTCCATGAATTTCTGTTTGTAATTACTAAAGTAGAAGAGAAACAAACACATATGAAAGAGCCTATAGCAGGTTTCTGTTCGTGGTTTGCGTCTCTTTTAGATGAACAAGGTTGTCTTTTAACTGTACATTCTTGTTTCTGCTTATTAACTTTTCGCCCTCAATCTTTGAGTTTCAGATTAAGTGGATGGAGTTATTCCCCACCATTGTTTCTAGGGCAAAAACTGTACAAGTTATATCTTCTGGTGCATCTGGTCATGCAAGTGGATCTCTTCAACTGGTAATATCCGGCTCCCTTCAAATTAAAAGCAAAATTCTAGCACTCCTGTTGGTAAATGTTCGCTTAAAATTTTGCTTGGTTTTTGTCGCAGATGTACGCAGAATTACAAGTGATTTCTCCCTTGGTGCCCACTCGCGAGACTCATTTTCTTCGTTACTGCCAACAAAACGCCGAGGAAGGGACCTGGGCCATCGTTGATTTTCCTCTTGACAGCTTCCATGAAAATTTTCACCACTCTTATCCGCGATACTGCAGGCGACCTTCTGGCTGTATTATTCAAGACATGCCAAATGGGTACTCAAGGGTGAGCTCTCTTGAACTTGCCAATTATATTGAAGAAGATGCCTCTCTTTTCCGCCATTAATTAGTGTAAAATTTCTTCTCTTGTTAATGCTGTACGTACAGGTAACGTGGGTGGAGCATGCAGAGGTGGAAGAGAAACCAGTGCATCAGATATTCAGCAACTATGTGTACAGTGGAATGGCTTTTGGAGCACAGCGTTGGTTATGGGTTTTGCAGAGACAATGTGAGAGGGTCGCCAGCCTCATGGCAAGGAATATTTCAGACCTTGGAGGTTCATCTTCACTAAAGTCTTATCCTTTCTGCTATATATAGTATGAATCATGCACGTATATGACATTTTTATGTGTGGATTATTACAACCTTCCAGTGATTCCGTCACCAGAAGCCAGGAAGAACTTAATGAAACTGGCCCAGAGAATGATACGAACTTTTAGCCTGAACATGAGCACGTCGAGTGGGCAATCATGGACGGCGTTATCTGATTCTCCTGAAGACACTGTTAGAATTACAACGAGGAAGATTACAAACCCAGGGCAACCTAATGGGGTCATACTCAGTGCAGTCTCCACCACCTGGCTTCCTTATTCTCACTCCAAGGTCTTCGACCTCCTCAAGGATGAACGTCGCAGATCTCAGGTACGTGTACGTCCTTTCATTTATATGATCAGCCAACGTACAAATTATCAACTCAAGAAATTAATGGTTCGCTCTATGTGTTTTGTTGGTAGTTGGATTTTCTCTCCAATGGGAACTCTCTTCATGAAGTGGCTCATATCGCAAATGGCTCACATCCTGGAAATTGCATCTCCCTTTTGCGCATAAACGTAAGCTTCGTCATACCCTATTTGGTCTGATTCCCAAAAACTTCAATTCACTCATCATTTATGTTTTCTTCTGAAAAAGGTGGCGAGCAACTCATCTCAGAATGTAGAACTAGTGGTGCAAGAAAGCTGCACCGATCAGTCGGGGAGTCTGGTAGTGTACGCCACCATCGACGTGGAATCGATTCAGCTCGCCATGTCCGGTGAGGATCCTTCCTCCATAGCACTTCTTCCCCAGGGCTTCGTCATCGTTCCTGCAACAACCTCCGCCGCAGCCATCAATGCCAATTCAACTGAATCTGCAGCCACTGCCGCGGGAGCACCGCCGCCGCCTGCTTCTACACTGAACCAAGCTTGTCTTCTCACAGTGGGCCTCCAAGTTCTGGCCAGCACCATCCCAACTGCGAAACTCAACCTCTCCAGCGTCACCGCCATAAACAACCATCTCTGCAACACTCTCCACCAAATCGAAGCTGCTCTTTGCACTGACAACGGCACTTACGTCGTCGGTTCCTGCACTACTGAACCCACCACTACCACAACCCCTAAGCAATAGTTGAATCATTTGCTGTAACTACTGAATCAATACCTTCTCATGAATAGATTCGACCTAAAGAACTAGCAGCAGACTAAACCAGCCAAAAGTGAGGCGTATTAGAATGGAATACCTAGCCAGTCCGTGTTCTAAAAGACCGAATCAGAGTAAGAATTAGTGTGTGAATTAGGTAGGGAAGTTAAGGTGTGAATGGATGGATTTGTTTTGTGTGTGGAAATATTAGAGAGGGACAGAGGGAGTCAAGAGCGCACCAGATATATATATAGTAGTGTAGTACCCTTGGCTCTGTGGTTTAATGAAGGCCTTTCTGTGGGCTTTTTAGTTATACCAGAGAGCGAGGGTGGTGGTTCGGGTATTGACTTCTGCTTCTATGTCTCGGCCTCTCTACGTCGTCGTCTGCATATTTGTCACATTCATTTTCATTCTCAGTTTGTTAATGTTTCTGTCTTTATTATAATTTTTATCCTTTTTATGTGGACTCGGTGTTCATTAGCATGTTTCTTGGATCTTTATTAATTCCTTCGTCTCTTAATGGCCCTCAAATTCTAGTTATTTTGTACCCATCGGGATTTCAAGCACTGGTGTCTTCTCTGGCTGTGTTTGGGTGACACCCCAAACTATGGTTTGGGGAATAAATCACCCAAACACCCACTCAAAAACCAAAACTATGGTTTTGAAAAAAGTAAAAATTTTTTGCTTTTGGAAAAAAAAGGGAGAGTGTGAGAGCCTATAGGATATTTATCTTGTTTTTTTTATAAACATATTTTTTTATAAACATATTTAATCTTATATTTTATAAATATATATACATATTAATTATTTATTAATTATATTATCTTATGTATCATTAATTATGTTGGTAAAAAATATATTATTAATAATTTTATTCCTTCAAATTAAAATATATCATAAAATCTATTTTTTCTGTAATTATTATATTAACTTATGTCTTTTTTTTAGTAATTTGTATATATAAAAAGTGCTTCTGATAACAATTATCCAAACACTCACTTCTCAGAATCACTTTTTTACAAAATCTATTCTTCACAGAATCTATTCTCCCCAGAATCTATTCTCCAGAATCACTTTTCCAAACCACGGTTTGGTTTTATTCAAACACACCCTCTGTATATCTAACCAGCCAATGTCCCTTTCTTACCATTCTTCTATATATATATATATCTAAACTATTATTAATAGCTTGTTGAAGTGGTTCGATTCTTATTTCTTATTTCAAGCGTTGGGCGACAAAAAATTTATCTATAGAAAAACTTTTTAAGCCATATATGGTCGAATCCATCTTGATTCATATTAATCAAAACCCAATGTATCCTTTGGAAATTAGTTGGTATATCCATCCCAATAAAGAGAATAATAATGATAATAAAGCTAACAAGACTGAATGTCAACTTTCGAGTTATCGTTTCGTGTAAACTGAACATGTTTTGTTTTCTTTTAGTTTCAAAGTGAAATTTAAGAAATAATTCTTTTATAATTATCTCTTTCGGCAGGAAACTTCAAATTTATCTGTTAGTGCAATTTATGAGTTTGATTTTGATACTCATTTTTCCATCATGAGCCGTCGTTAATGATGTGTACATGACATCAAGTCCAAAAACAAGTTGTTAAGATTACGCCTACTAGCCTCGTAGTTCAGGAACTTTCTTTAATGACTGGGGAGTAATCAGTACATTACTTGCATATTGAATCTTTTGGTATTTTGATGAAACTAAACCTTAACCAACTTTAATCTGGCAAAAAAAAAAACAACCAACAAAAATAGCAAGACGAGATCTAGCTATGCAACGTAAAGAGATCTAGTCTATATAAAAGAAAACTATACATTGGGTTTGCGGTTGATGACAGAATCAACACTCTTTTAAGATCCATCAACCTCAGAAGAGTTGAAGACTAATTTTCCTTCAAAAATATCAATGTTACTTTAACAATAGGCAAAATTTTCTATTTTGTGCGTGCCCGTTCAATTAATCTCGGACAACACATTTCTCGTCGACGACGGATCTTGGGCCGAGTGTTTGATTCGGTGTTTTGTCATGGACGTTTGTGAATCTTTATGGGCCCGATTTGTTTTAATGGGCTGGGCTAAGGTGCAAAAATGATATCACAAAAATTTATTGAGGACTGGTATTTAATTTTTGTTGTTGTTAGGCACGGGTATTTTTTTTATTGGAGACAATCATATTTAATACACTATCTGATACTAAATGTGTATACTTTTCTTCACAAAAAATTCAAACACTGATGGATCCCTGTTGATGTATTGAAATGTTAAACAAACACATCTTTCATATGGAAAATCTTCAGGAGGACAGCCAAGTTCCGACACTGATATTTCATTGATGAATTTTTAGAAGGGAAAAAAAAACTAATACCTAGGTGGAAAAAAAGGAAGAAAAATAGAATTTCAAACCACAAGAGATAAGAAATCGTCGAGTCCTTATATGTCTGTCTTGTTGAGCTTCGTGAAAAAATGGGAGACCCCAAGCCAATTGCATATTAAAAATAACTATAAAAAAATCTATATTTTATTGAACCAGATCTGCTTTCAATTATTTTCCGCCAACAGAGAAAAGAAATTAGATTTTGTCTATTAAAGAGTCGGCTCACTCAGGAAAATCAATCCATGTGGACCCAAAGAATTTCCCCCACTTTTAATACAAAAATTCATCTCCCTTGTCACCATTTTGTTTTCTGAATTTTTAATTTACTTGATCTTTTAAATGTTTTCCTCATTCAATCAATACAAAGTATGAAATGATAATTGCAATAAAGTTCCAAACAAGGAATATATTACAAAATTTGATTAAAAAAAGAACATATTTTTTTTTATAAAAAAACTCACAAGAACTGATCAATTTATGATGATAAGTTTTGAAATAGAAAATAAGAACACGTTTCAGCTTCTCGCTTATCATTAATATTTTTTAAATATATATATATATTTTTTTGAGACGTCAGCGTAATTCTTCCAAGCATAAATATGCCGTACACAAATTTGTCAACGTCAAATTTAAGTTCAGGATCTCCTCCAAATGCTGGAAGCATAAATGAAGTAAAGTTGAAGGGAGAGGCGAGAGAAGAATGGGAGAAAGGGCATGGGATGAAAATTTGACCAAAGGAAGAAAGGGGGAGGCAAATAGATAATGAAGGACGTGGGGGAAAGCACAAGAAAGTAGAAACGGCAAGACAGGGCGGCATGAGAAGGCGTCGTCGTTTTGGGGAAGGACGCATGATTTAAGGAGGCGCAAGACATGTCGTTTCGATTTTGACGGGTTCAACCATAAATCAAAGACTCGAGCAGGGTCCAACTTGTTCCGGGTCATAGTCTTCGCCCGCAAATAGACAGACACGGTCTCACACGTTGATCACCCGAAATCACAAAGTCAAATGTGTGTGTGTCTCTGGAAGGCTCGGCATAATTCAGCTGTTTTGGGCGGACGTGTGATCAAGTTGCTGGGACATGTTGGCCCTTAATTACTCCCTTCCCTCTCTTTCTTTATTCATTAATTAATTAAAGTCACACCCATTTGTTTTCAGACTTACCCTGTAAAACAACATGTGGCTTTCATGATCCCTATTGATTACGATTTTTTTTTAATAAAATTTTGTCCGTTAGGTCTCTCGTGGGTCACGTTCTCTTTGACTGAGCGCTCAATCCTTTCTTTCCAATATCGGATGCCGCTATTTGTTGGTCATGTTTACCTAATTCAATTCTATTTATTTATGGATATTTATTGAGACTCGTTGGGGATGGCATTATCTCTTTTTTTTAAATGATTAAATAATAAAATCTGATAATCTTCTTTAGACTCGTTAATACTATCTGAATCAATACTACCTATGGTATTAATCATAATATCTTATTTGTATATTATAAACAGGGTCTTATAATTAGAATCAAATATAATATTTAATATAAAAGCCACACAACTAATTTGTGAATAAGAGAATTCATTTAAGTTGGTTGTTTATAATAAATAGATATCATATTTCCTGAAACACCCTATTAATTTTGTGTATTTGAATTATCCCTTGATAGAAACTCTTTAATAAATACAATCATCATCTGGACTACTTACTTGATGGTATCGTAGGCAAATATTGAAAACAAAGTAGATTGTAGTTTTATATTTAAAAGAAAATTGAATTTTCAACTAACTATTGTATTAAGATAAGGGATGATACTAACTTTAGGAGTATTTAAATCACACTTTAGTTTTTGACAAGAAAAACAAGTGGGAGCGTGTTCATGTTTTTAATTGACATAAAAGCAAAGCAAAGGTGAAGGGGGGAAAAAATAACAAAAAAGGAGGTCGAGGTGAAAGGGCAGCACAGGGAGTATGCGTGATTGGCACGAAGAAGGAATCTGCATAGGTGGATGAATCGAGGATCAAGAATGAGGAATAAAAATATGAGCCAGGTGATTTCTGATAAAGTTTAAAAAAAACGCACACTCCAGCCAACAAAGCGACAGTGGAAAGCTTTCGTGGCCATCGGTAACTAAACAGCGAAAAAGGCAAGAAAGCGTCACCAAAAACGGACCACAAAATGTGGGCCTAAAAGCCCAAAATCGCCAAAACCATATATACACCAGTGGGGTTGAAACCTGGGATCCCAGAATCAGTGTAATAATTAATAATTGACCCCCCCAACCCAAGGAATAAAATTTTAAAAATAAGTACAGGTGCAAAGCGTAACAGTGACCACGCAGCCAAAGTACCAGTACTAACTTTTGGCCCACGTGGCAGCCAACCATTGGCCATCCCTGCACACCCCACTAGAAGAATTAAAGCTCCAAATTTTGACCTCAACTTTTTGGCCCTTTTTCCGGCGCCTCTCTTTTGCGGGATCTCCCGCACAGCAGCCCGCATAAGCCATACACCCAAAATTAATTCCCTTCCTCTTCGGTTGTGTGAACACCTTCCCTTTTGAGAGAATCTCAGATTTTTTATTATTATTATTATTATTATTATTAGGCCAGACGGAAAGAAAGAACCAAGAAGAATCCTATATATAGTGTATTCTAGAAGATTGAAGCAGAGAGTATAAGCAAATAATATAAAATAAAATGAGGAGGAGATAAATTAAACGTGATGGAATCCAAAAGGAGGGGAAAGGATAATGTTTAAAAAAAGGGAGTTGGTATGAAATTCAAGGCTGGTTTGGTCAGGAAGTGGGCTCTCAGATAGAGAGAGAGGGTGAAGGAATAGGTGAAAAAGGGAATTGTGAAGGAGTCTCTTTTCCACCGGAAAGAGGCTTTTAGTGTGTCCAAATCAATGGCTTCTTTAATTAGTCCAAGTGTGAATGAGTGAGATGGCGTGCGTTTGGGTCAAACAAGGCATGAGAAGGAAGAATGAGGACGTGTTTTGTGTAATATAGCTGGCTGCTTGGCCTTTTTGTCTATACGTGTCTCTCTTCTAATTCCTCGCTTATATTTTTCTTCCCAAGAATCAACATATCCATATCCTCTTCAAATCCTATCTAGCTAGCTATACGTAGTCAAATCTTTCT